TTCTCTCACAGGTAGCTTAAGAGAGACATTCAGAACATTCACACCTGATGCCTCGGTCTCCAGCAGCTGCATGTGAACTTGTCAACTTAATAGGCTGCAAGAAGCTGCAGAATCCCGAGCCTGTGCCCCACCCCCCTCCACACACACACTGTGGTGAAATCCTGCTCTCTGAAAGACATCATTCACCCTCTGGACACAAAGCTCTTCTCAGGCAACTGGGGCACCTCTGGGGCACCTGGGATCAGTGTCATCCTGGTGCAGGTGGGGAAAGAGGCCCAGGGAAAGGGCAAGCATAACCTTTTGCTACCAAAGTCAGGAAGGAGCCCATACCACCCTCTCTCTGGAGTTTCCAGGGAGCCAACAGCAAGGAGTGGCAGGGTCGGAGGGCCACTGTTCTAAGGCTCTGGCGGAATATCTGTCCGTCACAGAAGTTAAACTTGGGGCCTGGGCAAAGTGGGTCTGGAAGACGTTCAAGGTTTTAAGTGGCAGCAACTCTGTGCTTCAGAGCACAGGGACACAGCCCGCTGTGCACCTGCTGCCTGTTGTGTTCTCTGAATTGTCCTCAACCAACCTCATCACGCACGACCTCATCTCCTATTTAGTAAGAAGGCTACAAAGACAGAATGCAGAAAGGAAAGGCATCTCTAGCGCGAAACACCACTTGGATTCTGATTTAAAGGCAAAACCAGAGTGGGCTACACCAATCTGTGCCCTTTGTTTGAGAAGGATGGCTCTGTGTTCCCTGGGCCACAGAAGAGGATGAAGGGCATGTTGGACCTGCTCCTTCTCACAGACCTTCACCAGAGGCCCTGGACTGCTCTCGGCACTGCAACCTTCCAGATGCCTCTGTGCTCTGAGGAGCTGGAAATCCTGCAGTGGGTGGCACTTGGGACGCCCAGATACCAATCTGAGTGGGCAAGGCAGGGGAGGATGCACAGGGTTTCTCTTTTGGGGGGGCATCTTTCTGTTGCATTCCTTCTCTCCCACGCCCAAGGCAGTATCCTCACCCAAATCAGTGGGGCACCAGGACAGGTGTAAGGGGGCAGGCAGGCAGACGCCGCCTCTGGGATGAGGAGAGAGCACAGAGGACGGGCTTTTCTGGCTGGTAAATTCCCTGCAGCCTGCAGTGCCTCATCCCTCATCCAGACAGCCACAAATGTTTACCGAATGGCTCCCAGGACGAAAAAGAGGAAGGACAGGAAATGAGGTGTAAGCGAAAATAACAGTGGCTCTAGGAGACACCGGAAGACTTTCTACTGAGATGTGAAGGCTGGACCCTCTTGGAGGAGGTGGAACTTGAGCTTTTCAAATGCACCCTTTCCCCTAAGCTTTCAAAAATTAGTCATCAAGCAGAGAACCACCCCTGTTCAGGAAGAAGCCTCAGGGCTACCCAGCACTTAACCTCATGAGGTGCTGTCAGCTTTCAGACGCTGATGTGGAGAGTTAACATCTGCCCAGGGACCTACTGCGCAAATATTCCTGCTTGGACCCCTCCCCCCGCCCCCGCCCGCAGTACTGCTGAGGTCAAATCCATCCCCGCCTGGGAGCCTTCTGCAGCATTTTCTTGCCCACCTCCCCCTTCACTCTAGTCAGGCTCATCCACAGTGTGGAATCCAGTGATTCATTTGGACAGAGGTCAGGTGTTTGTATACCAATGTGGCAGTTTCCACACAGAATAACCAGATGGCTTGTTTATTTTCAGTCCAGGGAGGGAGAGTTGGGAATGGTCTGAAAGGCAGAATAGAAAGTATTTCCTTTGGAACTGAGGGGAAGGTGACTTAAGAGGCAGAAAAAAATGGAGTCCAGTTAACCAACTGCAAGTTTTCTAACCACAGGTCACTAAGGGGAGAAGGACCCAGAGAATATGCCACATGAGGAAGAGCATCTAATAAGCCTCATCGTCCTTTGGTTTCTTGGGCCTTCTGGGTCACCCGGCTGATGGCAGAGACATGGCTGGGATCCTGGCTGAGCAACCTTAAAGAGAAAGATCTACAAAGAAAGATCTACAAAGCCCTCAACCCTGTGGGCACTGGGTCTTTGGGGACTGAGCCAAGAGCTCCAAGCACAAGCATTAGCCAAATTTCCCTGGTCCCTGGCTTCTTTTTCAAACCCAGGCTTTCTAAGACAAAGGAGGGTGGGGTTAAAAAGGAAGAAACTGGCCTACAAACAGGCCAAGATAATGGGGACAGTGACTGAGCTAATGGTCCTGAATGTCTGAAGTTAAGAGAAAGGACAGTTAGTATTCCTGTAAATACTAACATTTTCTAGTATTTTATTACTAATAAAAAACTTTCATAAACTTTATCTTACTTGACCTTCACACCATCTGTGGGAAAGTACTACCATCCACATTTTATGAAACAGGAAATTGATTCAAGCATCATGGCAGTAGCATTAGCGGTGGAATCTGGGTCCTGTGACATTTTCCTCCTCACCTCAAGACCTTCAATTTCAGAAAGAAAAGGCTAGACCCATCTTTCCAACCTTGCCACATATAACCTACAAAACAGATGATCGCCATCTTATAAGAAACACAGGACCAAACACCTTTCTTGCCGGAATGCTCTTAGGCGTGGGGGAGTGGCTGGAATGAGAGGAACCAGAGGCACTTCTGATTCCTCAGTCTCTGTGGAAACACTGATCCCTGCCTAGGCTGCCAAGGCAGCCCCAAAGATAATACTGAAGAGAAAAGGGTCAAGAAAACCGGTGGAACCGGACAGCCCTTTGCTGTGCTCTGCCTACCCACCAGAACAGGTCCATCTCACCTCTCTACTTTGGCCCCTCATAAAGCTTTGGCTTCTCCCACAGGTCACTCAGAGTGGACGGTCAGGAAAGTCAGTAGACTACTTAGGTTTGTTTTTAAAAATCCTGAATGGATCCCAAACTCCCAAACTGCTGTGGTTACCTGTTGGCCAGATGTTCTAAATCACGTCCAGGCGTGCAATTCTGCACTTCGTGGTCCCCCACCCGGGGGGCAATGGGGGCGGGGGGTGCATAAAGAGTCTCAGTAGATGAGCTGCAAGCTCTTAGTGAGACCCAGGCAAGGCAGATAGAGGCTCTTTCCCCATCAACCTGATCAACTTAATTCCACCAGCTTCCCAACCTGCTTATTAGACCTGGCTGCCACTCACATAGTCCAAATGGATGAAGCTATGTCATTCCTGTGTGTCACCCTTCACTTCTGAGGGCCTTCTCCATACACGAGTCCCTGATTCTGCCTGCACCTCCTCCTTTGCTCTCTCATTGCCATTTAATTATGCGACTTTCCTATGGTTCTACTCTAATTCAACTTAAGCTAATTAATTATGAACATTGTTCATTTTCCCTAATAGATCATAAACTCCTTAGAGACAGATACTATGTTGAATTCGTCTCTGTGGTTTCTTCTCCATTTTCACATCTGGTCAAGAGTTTTAGCTTTACACAGAGTAGGAGTACAATAAATCACTGTTAAAATGGAATTTACCTTGGTTTCTTTAAAAAATAGGGTGTCTGTGAAACATATCAAAGGATCCCTGCAAAAAAGACAGTTCCACGCCTCATACTGTCCTTTGACAAGACTTATGGAATCCCACTCCCCCTCTATCACCAGGGTCACTGCAGTCAGGCTCAGCAGGCTCCGAGACATAAAGAAGGTAAAACCAGACTGGCAAAGACAAGGGTTCCTAGTTTGCTTATTTAAAGAGGTTAAGATTACATAAGCAAAGCAAGGGATTGGTGCTGTTATCTGTCCTCAAGGGAAATCAAGGAAGGACTTTTTAAGGGTAGGGAATGGGGAGGAGGGGATGAAGGAAGAAGAAAGGGAGTTTCCTACAAAGAACAAGGGCGCAAGAGTTGATGGCTGAGACCTGCATGGATTCTCCATCATGACAAGGGAAAGAGACACCCCATTTCTTCTACAGAATGGGAAACCCAGACACTCCCAAGGTGAAAGGCCATTATGGTCCCAGAGGGGCCTAGGGCCCTGCTCATTCCTCAGAGTCAGCTGGAGACTGAGGCTTCTGGGAGCATAGTGGAGGGAGAGAAGGGAGAAGAGTAGTACTAGGAAATTCGGAAAGGGCCACTGAGTGATGGAGCACTGGAAGGATCACTCTAGTGCTTATGGGAGAGGCTGGGTCCTTCTTACAAAGTGAAGATGGAGACAGCTGATGATGGGGCAACAAATCTGATTTGGGTTAAGGATGGGTGGAGCATTCCATGACTGATGGAATCCACCTCTCCCCCTTCTACCCATCCACTACCCCACAGAACTCAAACTATCTTTACTGGCCAAGGACTTAGCACCAGAGCATAGCTTCCCTGGGCAGGCTCCAGGGAGGCAATGGTCACAGCCATTGGTAGGAAAAAATCCCAAGAATCTCATCTCAGCCAGCAGGGTGGAGGAGAAACCATTTCTGCTGGAGATTTAAGTGAGAGCTTGCGCTCGCACTCACACACACAGAGAAATTTATTATGAACCTGCTAAGTAAAAATCTAATTCCAGTTTAAGGATAAGAGGTTTAGTCCAGAAAATCTGGCTTCCTGAGCCACTATGGGGAGGATGTTATCTGTTCTCAATTTCCTATCAAATCACTCTCTTCTTTCAGGATGACAGCAAGGATGACAATAGTTTCTCTCTCCAGGACCAGGAAGGAGACTGAGTGCATCAGGAAGCCCCATGCACCGCCACCTGGCCGTCTAACCCCTCAGACACTCCTTCACCCAGACTTTTTCTTCGTTGGGACTCTGGCCCCAGGTCATTCAGGACAGAGGAACAGGGCAGGGCCTACCTTGCACCTCCTCCCACCTGGGACGAAGTGAGGGATGCCTGGGAACAGAGGCTGCCTGAGCCTGTGCTCCCTCCCACCAGGGCTAGGTCTCTCTGGGCCACATAACTGTATCTCCATCACGTCCCTGCCAGGGCTCATGCCAGTTCACACAGAGGACTGACCGCAGGGAGGGGGACTGAACCTGGGGACTATGAGACCGGCTCCTCTAACCCCCACGGCCCCAAATGGTACCTGCCAAGGCCTTGATCCGGGACCTCTCAAAGAGCCTGGCTGAGCTGTTGTCATTATCCAGCTCATCGTCCGGGGCAGCCCAGCGGGCATTGATCCGGCTGTACGGTGGCTGGTTGCCCACGTTTTCAAACTCCGTGGCCGATGTCATGTCAGCAGGCTCTCAGCAGTTTCGCCTGCCTCAGTCTTCATGGAAGGGTCCCTAGGGGGGACAGCAACACAGTCAGAGGGTTAACTCCCCTCCCTTGGACTTTTTCTCAGGGGAAACTTCTTTGGAGCATCCAACAGGGATAGGTCCTAGAGGGAGCGGCACACCATGCCAGCGGCCGGGCCATGCTTCTCCCCAGGTCTCTGGGTTATAGAATATTGCAGCGGCAGCGGCGGCGGCAGCAGTGGCGGCAGCCACAGGAACGGCGACTGTGGCGGCAGGGATGGAGAGCTGCATGCAGAAAGGGTCAGGACGACCAGCAGGTGGAGACGTCAGTCGCCGCAAGCCCGCTTCCTCCAAACCTGAGGCAACCACAGCTGCAGAAGCAGGGGAGAAGGGAGGCCCTCTGGGAGCCAGGGGGCTGGGCAGGGTTGGGGATGATATGGGGAGCTGGGGCGGGGGCTGGGCAGAAGAAAAGCTCTACCCTTTGGACTGGGGCCAGGACCAAACCTGGAGGGGAGGTGGGGACAGGAAGGAGAGGTGAGAAGGTGGAAGTTGGCTGAGTCCCGCTCAAATGTGCATCAGTGGGGAGAGAGACCAAATGTGAGATGCCACAGATGCCACCAGTCCTGGCAGCTGCTGGGGAAAGTGGACTCTTCTCAGAGGCTGCCCAAGATCCCTCCCAGTGCTTTCCCAGCAGCAAATAGTTAGAAAGCTGAGCTCTTGGTTTTGCCTTCTCTGAAATGCAACCAGGTATGTGGACAAGGTCTTCTGTTGAATTCCAAATCAGACCAAGGAGCCCAGATGACTTGCTGTCCCATCAGGTTCATCAGTGTGATGTGGGGGTGGCGGTGAGGGGATCTCACGGATGGTGGAGCCATGTATGTTCACCCATGCAATGCACGTGGGCAGCAGGAGCTCTGTGTTCTCATTCGCCCATCATTTATCAATCATGTTTGCTCATTCATCCGTGATTAATTCACATATGTACCAAGGCCTAACCAGAGGGCAGGCACTGTGCTAGGCAGTCAGGAGCAAGACAGGAAGGTCCCCGTCCTCATGGAGTTTACACTCTGGCAGCAAGATGCCCAATTAAATAAGCAACTCCAGTAAGGTATGATGTGTGCCACCACTGGGAAAGAACAAGGAATGGTGGACAACTCATGTCACATCACGGGGAGGGAAGTCTAAGTTGGTTCCTAAAGGGAGCTTAGAGGCATTCTGTGAGGGGATAAATGGAAAGGGACAGGTCTAAACAAAGGGGATAAAGAGCAGGTACAGAGTTCTGAAGGTGAGAAAGAAAACATGGCAAAATTTCGGAACTTGACAATGTTACTAGAGGGTGAGGGCAAGGTCAGGGAGAAAAGGGGGACAGGAGCTAGAAGTACAGCGCTAGGTCCTAAATGTCTTGGGCCTTTGGAAAATGACTAGCTTTCCTTCAGCCTTAATTTCCCCACCAATACCTGCCTTTCAGGCAACTCCCCATGGAGCTAAAGGGATTCATGAGATCAAGTCTCTAAGACCCAATATGGAGCCCAGAGCCTCCAAGAGGACAAAAGAGGGTGGAGGTGGGGAGGCCATGAGGCAGGAAAATGCCAAGTGTGAACAACCAGTGAGCTGTGAGGTATACCACTCCCTCCACGAATGTGTGCATACACATACCACAATCCCACACTCATACACACACACTCCAACACGCACACGTGCACAGACATCCACACATGGACACACACATCTAACACACATACTCACACACCCAAACAGGAGTAAGTTTGAAGAAATGACGCGAGCTCACCAATCCAAGTGTAAATGCAGTGCTGTTGCCCTTATTTGTCCGACACAGAATCACTGCAGACTCCTTTTCCCCAGGCTGATTAATCAATCCCACCACATCCCTTTGAGGTAAGACAGGAGCCAGAATTATCCATCTTAATTGCACAAGGAAGAAAACCAAGGCCTCACACTGGATGAGGCCTTCCCAAGGTCATCTAGGAAGTTATTGCTACAGCTACGGCTAAAGCCGAAGCCATAACCCATTTATCCCCTTCTACTAGACAGCTTTTAGGGAAGCAGATTAGATTTAGGCGGGAGAACGCAGCACATGGGGACAGAGGGCATTCCTCCACTTTCAGGACCTGGCAAAGGTGTTTGCTTCTAGCAAAGGGGAGGTGTAAGGTGGGGAAGCCAGTCCTCACCCCACAATCCCCCACAATGCCAGGCCTGTGCCCAAGAACACCCTCATCACTTAGAGCCTGTTGTCTTCCATAAATGGAGATGGGATTTCCAGGGCTGAGATTTCTCACTGAACTGGTTGGACAAAGAGCTGGGAAGGACTCCCTCCTCCCCATGCTCCCCCCAGCTTCCCTAAAGGGGAGGCTACTGCTGGCTCCCAGCTCTGCGCAGGAAGACTGAAAGCCTGATCACCTCCCATTGGGCTGCAAGCCTGTCCAGTAGCCCCCGAGAAGGGCCGAGCTGCCAGACGCAGGAGGTGAGGTAAGATCAGATCCTGCTTGCGGGAGGTAACTGGACCCTGGCTCTCCTGTTTGTCTTGGGTTATTTTTAAGAGCGGCTGAAAGAGGCCCAGGCCATGGGCTAGTGGGAGGGTGGGGGGGGTGAGATTACCTTTGCCACGGCTCCGTAAATAAGTCTGCCCCAGAAAGATGAGCCTGAGCAGGCACACCAGCAGGCCCAGCATTCGAGACAAGATTGATGGCCCCGGGTGCAGAAGAGCAGCCACTAGACAGCAATTCATCCTGCTTAAAAATGCCATGCCTCCTGCTGCTGTGGCTCAGAGAAGGCAGCAGTCGGGCAGCGGGTTGGCCCGGAACGTAATACAACACAAGTGTATGTCTAAATAACCAAGTCTAGGGTTTTGGGGTGTTTGGTTTGGTTTTTAGAACGTCAGGTCCCTGAAGACAACCACCAAAGCAAGAAGATTCAGAAACTCAAGGGAATTCCTTTTTCTCCTGCCTCATAACTGGGCCCACCCCAGGGGCCTGCCCAGACTGCATTCTGTCAGAGCTAAGGAAGGGGGTGGGGTGTGCTCAGTGGGTCAGCAAGGAGAGAATCTTGGAGAATCAGGTGTGAAAGACAGAAGAAAAGAACATCTGAAAACAGGAGAGCTACAGATGGTTATTCCAGGAAAACAAAACGAAAGCAAAAACAATACCTACAACCAAGCCTGACCCAGAGTTTTCCCAACATCACCCATGTCAATTTTCATTACTGTCATGATATCCCTTTGAAGGCCTGAGAATAAAGAAACCAACATGACTGAAAAGAGCAGTGTATGGTGGGGGCTCATGGTGGGGACACCTAACCAAATGGGGAGTCATGGAAGTGATACTTAAGTTCTTATCTGAGGGGAACCTGGAACTCAGGTAATCTAGTCACATTTTTAATGATGTAAGTCATCTATGCATCTAGGATGGTCTTCCATAAGTATGGAAGTCAGCAAGTACGTGACTAACATTTGACCTTAACCTGCACCTCACTCCCCTGCCAGCAAACCCAGGAGAAAGGGCATAAGAAGTAGTTCTTTGTCCTTTCACTACCCATCCCCCAGCAATGCACCCTCAAGCTCCTAAGAAGTCCTTCTCCCAACCCATGACACCCTTGTCAGAACACAGGTGGCTCCCCTCTCGCCTGTGTGACTCTGTACCCAGCGAAGATCCCCTTCCCTGTCTATCTACCTGCCTATTGCAATGGGACAGGCCAGAGGCTTACCCTCACCTGCTGAGCTTCTGCCACCCCCTAAAGCCAAGTTATATTTTGATCAGGAAGGGTTCCTACAAGAGTGGCCCGCAGCTCAGGACAGAAAAGCTCATCTGATTGGACAGGGCACTCACAGAACGAGCGCCTGCTTGGTAAGTGGATTTCGCAGCTTCACTGCAGAAACCCTTAGCTCCACCCTTCACAGCGCGCCCAGGACCTCATTTGCTTCTGGGATCAGGTGTGAGGCCTCGGAATCTCAACCTCATGTGTTATGCCCAGTTGATCCCTAAGGCAGCCGGGAACCCAGGAAGTGGTAGCAGAGGTGGCTATGGCAGCTTCTCTCCCACCTGCAGGGGCTGCCGGCATCCAGCTCGCACACAGCACCAGCATGGGGCAGAAGACAAAGGGTGCGTGGCTCTTTTCTTCCCCACCCCACCTCCTCTTCCCTGGGTGGCATGGATGAGAAGCAGCAGAGCCCAAAGCTCTACTTCAGGACTGGGACAGGGGGGAAATACAGGAGGAGGCTGCTGTTCCTTCGCAGGGTCACAGGTCGCAGGCTGTTGCGATGCAGTCTTCCTTCAACAGAGAACTGAAACCCATCCTACCTTTAATTTTCTCTCTAGCTGTAAACTTGGACTCCTCCTCTGCTTTCTATTTTGTCCTGCCCCTTTCTGCTACCCCAAACCTGCTTTTAAAATATTTTGGTACTATGGCAACCCAGGTCAGGAGATTAAATCCTGAAGTTTCCCTGGTAACTTTTCTGCCAGTGCATTTACTAAAACAGAACATCCTCCTACTCCCTCTGGTAGTAATCTCACTGCATATTCACAGACACCTTAAAGAACAAATACATACTAAAATAGCACGTGAACCCAAGAGATGCCCAGCACGGAGTACACTAACTCTATCGCAAACCCTAACCTCTGGCCCACCCCCAAGCTCTAGTCTGGCACCTCCATCAGTCTACAGATACCACCACCCTGAAATCACAGCTCCATCTCAATATGGCTAAGCCTGAGCACATAGCTCCCAGGACTTAACAGGGCAGCTTCAGGACCATGAGGTGACAGTGAGGCCCAATGAGATAAACATGCCACCTGTGGGTGACCCTTCCAGCAGATGGACCTCAGCAGCAGCACCTAGACCATGCTGCTTCCCCTCCCCAGGGCACACTGCTTTTCCTACACTCTGCAGTTCCCATTCCGAGTGGCCCTGGCTGCCAGTCTGTGAGTGGCAGAGTACAATTAGGCATTCCTCAAGTGTCAAGATTCCTATCCATGGCGGCCACCATCAAGGATCCTGATGCATTTACAAATCCCTGGCCATTCTAGCCCACTGCA